CAGGATAATATGGTGGTAACCCCCGGCGGCTGTAGTGATGCCGTTATTGCAGTTCCAAACCCTAAGGTAACAGTGGCAATGCCCAAACGCCGCTCTCTGTGGAGCAGGACGAAAAAGTTCGTCCGGCGAATGCTTTGTTGCGGTGCTAAATAGGCTGCATAGACCGCAATATGTATAATATTTGGTGGTCGTCTTTTCCTATAATTTATTTAATAATATGTGTGAAAATAATAAATATGTAAAATAATATACAGTGTGTTAAGTGTTTCCTTTTAAAGGTAACACTAAATAATTCTGTCCAGTGACATCGGATTAATATGCGGTTTCCAGGAGGGGATAGGGAATACATAAATACACATTTCTTAATGATTTTTATATTTTTAGATCTTTCCGTGTACGCATGCGCAATACAACTTGCATTTTTTTAAATGGCAACAGGTGTTTTGAATACCAAATTCGGATAGACCGAATTTTTTTAAGTCGATTTGGTCCTTTTTACCATAGCTCTAAAATCAAAATTGAATAAATGGAAACCTGCAGTCAAAGTTTCGATTAAAATTATTGAATTTTTCACAAATCATACTAGAATTTTATGAATTATTATGAAATTTTATTTATTATTGATTGAACTAACATTTACGTCTAATTGAGGTTAATTAATAATAAATAAAATTTCATAATAGTTCATAAAATTCTAGTATGATTGGTGAAAAATTCAATAATTTTAATCGAAACTTTTACTGGTTTCCATTTAGTCAATTTTGATTTTAGAGCTATGGTAAAAAGGACCAAATCGACTTAAAAAAATTCGGTCTATCCGAATTTGGTATTCAAAACACCTGTTGCTATTTAAAAAAATGCAAGTTGTATTGCACATGCGCACACGGAAAGATCTAAAAATGTAAAAATCATTAAGAAATGTGTATTTATGTATTCCCTATCCCCTCCTGGAAACCGCATATTAATCCGATGTCACTGGACAGAATTATTTAGTGTTAGGTGTTACCTTTAAAAGGAAACACACTGTATTGTGTAAAAAATAATATTTGGTAATTAATATCATATTATTGTTAATAATGAAATTGTATAATATGATATATTAATGAACTGCCTGTACATTTTTTGTCTATACATTTTGTATACTTAATATATTGTATGTAAAAATAATGTACCTAAAAATTATATAATGTAATGTATTATGTACCTAATAAAAGAAATACCTACTTAATAACTGTTGTTAAAAACTTGTTTTTTATCCTGTAACTCAGTTTGTATTATTATGTATTTGTATTGTCCAGTACTATCTTATTTATTATTTAATAAACATTTAATTTCTATAATTTATTTTATTAGGCTGTATTTATTTACTGTGGATTTAAATATTATATTCATAATTAATGAAAGAAGCACCTGCGTTATTCTAACAAAAAAAAAAATATTATTAATTTTAACACATTTTTCATCAATTTTAAGATAGGTATAAATAAAATGCCTTTAAATTATTACAATATATTTTGATAACTCATTTAAAGAAAAATTATTCATAAAATGTATGAGGAATTTATTAGATATAAAAAATTATACTCCTTTAGCTTAATTAGTAAATAACTTAAAAACAAAGAAAACACTAGGATTACGATAAATTTCAACAAAACTACCATAACCATGATTGTAACAAACAAACACGGACAGGACCAACGCGACACTGATCATTTTTAGTCCAGATTACCATCGATATACCGTGTGTTCACCAATTTAGGGAACACTGAATTTCTCGGCTGGATTATTTTGGAATAAATCGACTTTTTTTTTACAAGCTTGTGGTATATAAATACACATTTTCAGATAAATTTCAAATTTTTAAACCCTTCGGTACACGAATGCGCAATGCAACTTACTTTTTTTTTTAATAGCAACAGGTAGTTTTGATACCAAATTCGGATAGACTGGATTTTTTTAAATATTTGGTGAACATTTCAAGAGTCTACGGTTATTCATTTTGGAAATACAACAAAATCCAAAAAAAATCGATTAATGAGAATTTGATTTACAGCTGAATATCGAATATCGTGACAATTAAGTTCGAACACTCATAAAAAATTCAAGTTTAAGTATACGTTTTTTTATAGGTAGACAAACTTATGTGAAATCTTTTATTAACATTTTTAATCTTGGGCCTTAAGCTTAACTGTGAAAAGAAAATATTTTATGAATTACCAATGAAAAATAATTAAAAATATTTGAAAAATTTCTCAGTTATAAATACCTCAAAAAGAGTCAAAATTGTTTAAACATTTTACCATGTAAGGAAAATTTTAATTTTAACATTTGATAAAAATTTCAAGGATATACTAGGACAATATAATATCAAATATTGGTAGATGAAATTTCGTTAATTTACTGATAAAAATTGAAAGTTCAATGTTGTACACATTTTAGATTCAAACGCTCATAAAAAATGTATGTTACTTTCCAGTAAACTTTGAAAAAACTAAACTGAAGTAAACTTTAAGATAGTACCAATTGTGAGGAGTCTTCTATCAACATTTATAATATTAGCTATGAAAGGAAAAACTTTTATAAATTTCTAACAGAAAATTTCCAAAAAAATTTGAAGAATTCTAAATTCTAATATTTGATATAGGTACCTATAATCATTACAAACAATAATTTGTGTTTCTGCTAAAAACGAAGAAATAAAAAAAAAAAACATTAAGTTAAGCTAAAAAAAACTATTTTTGGAACGAAGTTCCTTATGGGGCGTTAGGTGGATGGGAGTCGCTGGAAAAAAATCGCAACAGCAACACCAAAAAGCGTAACACCGAAAAGCGTAACACATTGCTCGGCTCGGCTCGGCTCGGCTCTGCTCGGCTGCCGGCTTACATATCCCCTCCCTCCTCTCATATTATCGTATGTCCCCACTAGGATCGTACCATCTGGCAACCGGGTTCCATTCGCGTAGGCTACCCAACATCGGTCGTCACGCGCGTAGAGGTGATCGTCGGGCGGAATGGGGGGGGGACCCATTAAACGAGTAATTATTTTTGACGAAGCATAACTTAGCCGGTATTCGACTTAGATACCCCGGACCAATGGGCATCTCAATTTTTTAGGCCCCAGATGAATTTTCAACATTAGGGAACCAATGCCCCCACCCCCCCACATTTTGAGTTGAGTGTAACTCGGCCGGAATTCAAGTTAAAGACCTCGGACCAAGGGGGAACCCATTCTTATTATGAAGACTACAGTTTTCCGCTTTAGGGAACGGGGGCACCTCCTCCCCCCCTTTTGGATTTTGCTTTTTTGATGGATTTTGGTCCGGGAGAGTACTAAAACCCACCTCGCCAAGGGGAAACTCGGGGTTTTGAGTTTTTGATGGGTTTATTGGGATTTTCATAAATATTGTTTTTATTGATAAGGAAAGTGATAAGAATTTTATTTTCAAAATAATTTTTGCCCCTTAAATTTATAAATTCCATTGTGATTTCCATTTACCTTCTTCTCTATATACATACAAATCTATAAACAAATGAAATTAAAATTTACTTTTGAAAAACGATAATCGAGTACAAGCTGTATCAACCGTATCATTATTAAAATTTCTTTCAGTAGAATTTGACTTAACCATCAATAGGTTTTTTTTTTTTTTTTTTTATTGGATAACCCGCGGCAACATAGGCTATTGGGTGTTGGTAGGGAACTGTAGGTTTTTAGTTTGGGTAGGTTGGTACACGTGTGTGTTTGTGGTGGCAGAATTTTTATTGGGGCACCCGTAGGTTTCTGCCATGCCCCGGGTTGGGGGATGGCGGCACTTGTACTCCGGACACCGTGACTTGCCCGGAGAAAAATGCCGCCAAGTGGTCGAGAGGCGAAGTCGACGCGTTAGACCACTCGGCCACCTCGTCCCCCATCAATAGGTTTGTTCCATAGACATATTAATATGTCTATTGTCATTTATTAATAATCCGTCGGAATCTACAACAAGATACAATACCACTATCGATGCGGTTTTTTCGAGATATATAGAAAAAATTCAATCACAAACATACGTGACATATTTCAGCTACCACAAACCAATATTTACTGTTATTGAGAATACTGATTAATTTCATAATTGCTTTGTACTTTTATAATGATTAAAATACCATTTTTTTATAATACTCAGAAAAAATTTATTATAATTTTATTACCATGCGCGCGATATATTTATACAAGCATTCATTTCTCTCTCTGTCTCTCTCTCTCTCTCTATCACTATTTATTTATATTTTTCTAACCTTATAATATAAGATATTATAACATATAACCTTATAACATATTATGTTTCCGCGTCTCGCATCACATGCACTGAACTTCGTTCCTGCCGAGTGTTCAACAACACTCACTGTTTTTTTCATATGATTTTTCAATTTTTGCTGTTTTTGAACTGGGGGTGCTAAATTAAAGTTTGGGGGTGCTGAAGCACCCCCAAGCACCCACCTAGTTGCGCCTATGATTATGTGCGTATACCGCTACCACGATTTAAGACGTCTTAAATCGTGACCACTACATAGAATTATTTAAAGATTCGGCCTTCTTGGCGCTCCTGGCGGACCATTCCCGCATTAAATGCCGTCAAAATACGACTCACTTTTCGACGCCGAGTGTCTATGACGTATTATCTACATCGTGATATTATTATCTATGCGTCGGCCACTCGGGAGATATCTCATTATCTTTAGTTTTTATTATTCACAATTATTGTCATCATACACTTTACAGTTACACACTGTTCACCACAGAGATGAACGACGGTTGTATGGACGTGTAGTTAGCCAAAGTCAGAAAGCTGAATAAGCTCAACAAGATTCGGGGAAATAACTGTCATGGAATACTCTTACACAAGGGTGCAATAAACTTTGAAAAAACCCGGATCTATTTCGGTAGGTAGGTAGTAGTAGAATATTAGTGTTTTAACGAATTTTTTCATACCTAACCAAATTGTATAGATTTCGTTAAAAATGAACGATACTCGACAAACAGATGACAACAAGTCTGACACAAACTATGATCAGAACTTAGAAAAACTGAATGACTTGGATTTGCGAGAAGAAACTGAGGTTTCTGAACAGGACAAATGTACGCCCACGCTTGATTATCTTCAGGTACCTACCATAAAAGGAGATATCCTTTGGCTTGACACCATTTTTTATTTTTTCATCATATTTCTTTGTCTTTTAGTCCCGTATTAAAGAGCTGTATGCGTTTAGTAAAAAATCATCTGAAAATAATGCCGAAAAAGCATCTTACAACAAAGAAGTACTCAGTGAAAAGATTAATGAAGTATTAACATTGATGAAAACAAATGAAGGTAATAACATGGGCACTTTCCTCGGTCCAAATTATAAATAGGCATCTCTTAAACTTTCAGAAGCTGCAGTTGCTGAAAACAAGGCACAGTATTTTTATTTACTGGGCAAAACTTTGAGTGTTACTCAACCAGTGACTGAAGAATGTATTAATGTATATTCCAAAGCTGTCAAACTCAATCCAACACACTTAGATTCCTGGAATATGCTTGGTGAATGTTTAGTACATTTGAAAAGGTTTTCTGAAGCCAAATATTGTTTCCTTGGCTCACTGAAACACGTAAATAATAATATGTTATTTGTAGTGTGGATTTAAATGTCCTACACAACAACAACAAATTGTATTTAATGGTACAATCGCATTTGATGCAATCTTTTAATAATACAAACTATCTATATTCTTTATGTATCGGCTTGCATGTGACAAAAATTTTGTTGATCAGACCAATTTGCGGTGGCCGCCACTTTTGTCCGGTACATAAGTTATAACATAATACGTAATAACTAATAAGTGCTAATATTTCTATGCATTTGCATGTTTTTTTCCTTGAATCCAAATTGATTGGTTGTCAGATATATCCACAATTTAGATTAGTCTTGATTGAATAGATTTGAACAAAACGAATAGTTTGATTTTTGAAAATATTTTGAATTTTAAATGATATTTATCTAATGAACGTCTATAATAATTATCGAGTTATTTGTAGGGTTGTCGTAAATTTACTATTTAATCATATCTTGGTCAGATGACCCTATCGTATTTCCTATACCTAATTTTAGCTTTGCATTAGTATGACAAATTTTAGTCAATATAAATCCATTCATCGTTCCAATTGCCTGTCATTCGTGTTTCAAAATTTGAAAGAGCATGACTACAGCAATATGCAACGTAATAATAACTACTTATATCAAATAATAAATGGTTATTAATTAGTAGGTATGTTCTGTTTCAATTAGTTTCTTATTTAAATTTGTTGTTCTTAGTGGGCACTTTTATAGTAAATTTGTAGCAAATTTTATCCATTCCTATAAAATATACAAACAATTTACATAATAAATAAAAAAAAATTCCTTAATAATTTCAAAGAAATAATAAAAATATTTTTAAAAAAAAATACAAAATAAAAGTTTTATTTTTAAGTTATCTTATGTATGAAACAAATGTTATGTTTGAATTGATACCCACATTAAAGGACTTTTATATCCGTCTCATAGTATTTTAGCATTGCACTTTTTAAATGTACTTATATTTTTATCCTTCTGTTCCAGGGTAAATGTAAAGTCATTTTGCGGAATCTATCTATTATAATGCGAGAGGCTGAGTTGTTGACTAATGAAAATATTAAGGAAAACCTAAATGCAGGTATTGAATATGCAAAAGAAGCTGTTGAATTGGACACTACTGATGGTGAATCATGGGCAATACTTGGAAATGCTTATCTATCCTTATTTTTTAGAAGACAAGAAGATAAGCTCCTTAGACAATCCATCAACTCTTTTGAGAAAGCAGTAAGTTAAAACATTAATTTAATATGCTTAAATTATTATTAATTTTACATTTTTTAAATTATATTTAGGTCAAAGACCCTGTAGCTGCCAAAAATTCTGATCTTCATTTTAATAGAGGCGTTGTAAGTCAAACTTACTGGTAAAATGTGAATAATTAATCGTTGGATTAAATTTTGTGTCATTAGGCTTTAAAGTACGGGGAAATTTATACAGATGCTTTATTGAGCTTTGAACAAGCCTCAATATTGGATCCAACGTGGACTACAGCTAAAGAAACTTTAGAAGATCTTATTAAATATTTGACCTCAACACAAACATTATATCAACGTAAGGGTCAGGTCAAAAGTAAGAGACTGCAACAAATGACAGAGGTACTATTACACCGCATATTTAATGTCCATTATTATAAAATATTATATTGTTTTATTAATTTGTACAATCATTTATAAATCAATATTGAAACTAAACTAATTAGAATAATATTGCTTTTTTGTATTCTCATAATTAGTCATTAAACTCAAGTTGCTTGGGATTGTACAACAATAAAATAAAAACATTAAAAGGTCATGTAATGTTGGAACACATTCCACTATCAAAACTTAAAGCCGGTTTTAATGCTAACAATGTAATATGTGGCCGAGTAGTATGTGTTGTATACAATCAGGAGCCTGTCCCTTAGTAAGTATAATTTATAATATTGCAATTTAAGTAATTTTGTATTAAGATGTGTTCAAAATAATTTACTAGTACATTCTGCCTGGTGGATAAAGAATTATCATGTGTAGTTGTATCGGTATACAACCTGGCTCAGGGTAGAGGACCGATCATAGGAGACTCTGTGGCCATTCCCGAACCTTATTTGACTCATATTGATGCTAAATATATAAATCAGGTTTGTTTATCCACAAATTTAATAAATAAAATTAAAACATTTATTTATATACTGCTTATACTATTTCCAGACATTCCAGTACCCCAGCATAAGAGTAAACCTTCCTTTAACCATGGTGGTAAACAAGAAAAATGTAAGTGCAGAATGTGTATCTCAACCTCGGTTTTCATCCAAACCGTTTTAATAATTGTTTCTATTTTCTAACACCATACATTTTGTATAGTCAAATCAGTTATGATAATCATTATTATAAAATTGTATTTTATAAGCTTTATTTAATTAACATTGTCAATAACAATTGTAAATACTTTAAATTATTAGTGAACTACTTTCATTATATAGAAGACCTTCTATCGCTAATTTTGTACTATTAATTTTATTTCTTTCTTTTTTACATTTTATTTATACTTTTTTACACAAAAAAAATATACATTAACCTATTAACGATGATAAAACTTTTTTTTTTCATTTTGTCATCTAAAATTTTAACTTGATACAGTTAAAGTAAGGTTAGTAATATAAAGATTTTCATTAGAGCGTTAAATTGTAAACTCATTATATTTTGATCTTAAAGTGATAATTTCAATTTTAATATTTATTTAGCATGTTCAGTGATTTATGTGTAAAAATTCTAACATGTTTTGTTATTTTAAACTATAATGATGTCCAATATATAAATATTATATTAATTAACGTCTTAGTAATCATTTTAATTTCAAATATTATGCTGTAAATAAAAAATTAAGATTTTATTTCAGATGAAATTAGTATTTGTTATAGCATTATAATGTTGATAAAAAAAAAAAAACCATTTATAATTTAATCAAACATTGACCCTACTTTCTTAAATTGTAAGAAAATAATAAAACATTTGATAAATTACTTAGAAATGGTTCATTCATATTTTAAATGTATAAATATGTCATATTTACCAATTTTTTGGAGTGTAATATGTTTATGTTTTATGATAAAAATGGGACAATATTTTATAATATTATACTATTATGTTGGTAAATCAGTCTCACTGACACTGTACAATTTTTTTTTTAATGCATAGGACTGGTATTTGGTCAAGTTACACCAACATGTATTTAAATACTGCTTAATTTATGTGATAATATTGAAGACTTCTATAGATAAATAAGATAAATTTATGTATTTATACCAATACAGTTTATAAAAATAAAAACTACTATAGCTTGACATATTTATACACCGTTTATATCTGTTGATTTTGAATGAAATGTGGTGTGTCTTTCTTTGTGGATTAAAATTTAATTTAAAAAATATATTTAGTGTTAACTCACTATAACCAGTACACCACACCTCTATAAGGCACCTCTAGATTTAGAATAAGTACCCACATTAGTCATTTTTCCTAAGTCAATTATGTGTCAAATCACTATTATAAATTAAAATCGGGTGGTAGATCATTTGAATTCTATAAGATTATGATTTGATTTTAATTTGTAATATATTCACAATCAGAGTGGAATATACAAGTGGAAATTAAGAAAATTCATATTTTTTGTCACACCTGCACCGAAAGTTTAATTTTTGACGCCAGTTGAAGCGTTCGAAAATTACCTCTTCCCTCTATTTTTCCCTAGCTGTGGGTGGCTGATGAAGTGGAATCCCAGAATGTAGCTTGCGAAAAGTGGAAAATTCCCTACGCAGTGGTCAGAAAGGTTATAAATGTACAAATCAGATTAAAATAATATACTTGCTGGTAGGTGGGTTACTCTCTTGTTCCCACCGTGGCAGGCAGAATGAGACATATTCGGCATCGTCTCATATTTACTTTTTTACTTCAGTATTTGGATGTTTACTGGATCAGTGGATAGACCGCCACGCTCCGGAGTCCGGCCACCGTCAACTCACGCCACTAGTCTATTCTAAAATATAAGAAAGATTTTGAAAAATAAATATATATATTATTATTTATTAGTATTTATTACATTCGAAAATTTGTAAAAAAAAAAACTATATTTTATTTAAATTTTAATAAATATAATAAAACCAAATAATTTGTCCTTATTCGTATTCTCATAGACTCAGGTCCCAAAATTAAGATATTTTACTACTGCACACCATTAGGTCCACACAAAAATATTTTAAAACAATGAACATAGACCTAGTAGGGCACATGTCACGCATATTCATTGCATAATTGTTTTTGCTATTAATTAATAATTAGGTATAATAAATACAGTCTAAGACAATCTTCTATATAAAATTCATTGGTACCTATATGACTGAACATTTTTAGATTAAAAACGAAATAGCTTGGATTAACATAAATATTATATTGTAATATGGTGTAGTAATATGATTAATTTAGCCGGTTGATTAAAATCGTTAGGAGGAATCAACAAGGAAATGTTAGATTGCCAGGACTTGCTTTGATGACATTCATGTGTTAAATTCACAATACGATGACATTAAAATATATATTATGTATGTATGAAATTGTAAATTTTTTTTTAAAAAGAATTAAAAATGAAATTTACATTATAATCAAAACGTTTAATTGCGCAATTTTTATATGTATTTATAACCACCCAGCTCCTCAAAAAATGTATAGTTATGGCTATGTTATAGTCGCGCTAGCTGACTAGTGATAAATTGGCCCATAGTGAAAATAATTTGTATATACGCCACTGATGGGCAGTAGTCACAGTGACTCCAGTCTGCAGTTTGCTGTATTCGCCACTTTTCTGGTTGACGAATGTTGGCGGTGTAGTTTTGGACTTCGACAACATCGGTCGAAAATGATTGCCAAAGTTGAGATGAATATAATATAGGCAGATAATATAAGTACTTAAAATGGATGATAAAATGTAATAAGTGTTTCAGAAACTTGAGAAACTCTCTTATGATGTTTGTTTATTAAATAGAGTACGTTTTTCTTTGATTTCTTTAAATTATGATATTATGGTCGCTAGCTACGGATTACGGACTTAACCATGTACCATAATATTATGTACACTTTCTAGCAAACAGTTATTTCATTCTTATCGGTCAATGTCGTCAAAGTTTCATTGCTATATAATATTGCCAGTAATAAGCAATGATTCATCGTTTCCGTTCGTTATTAATGGTTATTAAAATGTGATGTTTCAACAATTCGTCTGACTTTCTAAGTAATAATTTGTCAAATCTCCGGTCTTCGAATTCGGTCCGGTGATTTAACAAATTATTTTTCCAAACCCGTAAGTATTGTCTGCATTTGTCACTATTTCCCGGAATGTGTTAGGCGACTTCATAAATTGATCGCTGGCTTATCGTTTATACGTAACTGGTAAGTACCTCACGACCTACCTATTTAATATTTTAATGACTATAAATATTTACAAACGACCGGACCAGTCGACAATAATTATAATATAACCGGATATAGTTAAATTAGCTATAATATTATTTCCACGAAGAAAAAAGATATAAAATATAACATATTTTATTCTTCAACCTACTACCTAGGTACCTGTGTTAGTGACTTATTTTTGTTTATTAATATGGATATTTCAATCGTTCTGCACTACACATAAACAGCGTCAAATGTCTGATATATAGACTTAATCCACTCCTCCCAAATAGGTAAACTCCCAAATTGTTGAGTCCGATTTATTATTTACGTAAAAAAATATCGGTAAATTTACCAATTAAATTAAATTTAAGGGGTTCATCAAAGTTAACGAAAAATAAAATTATTATTTAACTAGGTATCAATTTTATATATTATTATTTGTCATGTTTATTATATAGGTACTTAAGTTGTTATAAAGTGTTAACATTAAGGCCTTAAGGTGGCTGCTGGAGGGGGCTCCAGTCAATGAAAAAAAAAGTGACTTTTAGACCAATAAGCTAGACAAAACTGGAAGAACTTGGTTCGACAGATTTTAATTTTGAAAACGGATTATGAATTATGATTGATCAACAAGTTTACTAGGGAATGATCGAGGCGATAGTGAATATTCCAATTATTGTTAGTGTCATAATGAATAATATAAATACAAAAATATCATATTTTTTCGATATTTTTTTTTCTTTGATATCACGGCTGAAAAAAAAAATATTCAAAATCAGCACGATCATTCCCCCGAGTAAACTTGTTGATCAATCATAATCCGTTTTCAAAATTAAAATCTCTCAAACCAAAGTCTTCCAGTTTTGTCTAGCTTATTGGTCTAAATGTCACTTTTTTTTCATCTGCAGCAGCCCCCTTAATTGTAAAATCAAATTTCAACCTTCGTAAAATAGTCGGCGTCCGTGAAAATATGTATTCTCGCCCTTGGAAGGCAGTTCTCAAATCGTTGGATTGAGCTCCTCTATACTTAATTTTTAATAACTGCCCCAGTGGTATAAATATGCTCCCAACCAAATTTCATACGATTTGGTCAACTGCGCACACTCTAATTTCGTACTGCACAATTTTAGTCTTGGCAGCTGGGGGATGACGTGCCTTTGCAGAAAATTCGGCTCTCAGGCGTACATTTTCGGCACGAACACAGTACAGGGTACCTTCGTACATGACAATACCAAATATTTTCCACTCCCACCGGAAAAAAATAAAACACAAGAAAAAGGTTACCAAACTCATCGAATCGTGACGTTGTTTTTCGGAAACCCATAATTTAAATTAGTTTTAAGAGGGTTTCGCGGTACACAATATAATATGCGGTAGAGCCATAGAGGTATACACCTATACCGTGGTTATTAATTCGTTGTCACGTCGATTTTCACACGAGTAAACTCCACTATTACGTACCATTATAATCATATAATATATATACGGTGGCACTCGGGCAATCGCAATGTGCCTATATAACATATAATACGGTATTATTTGTTTCTATTATATCCGATACCGTACATACCTATATAATACAATACGAGTGTATTATATTGTAATATACACACCAAAATACATAATATATAGGTACTGCACGTTATCCGATCATCTAACGATAATGACATAAAATTCGTATTTTTCGGGGGGGTAGGGACAATATTTTTTTTCGTCCACCGCCGAATATCATCGTAACCTATCATTACTGTGCCCACACACACTCTTTTTCCAGTGCACGTACATTGTACACGACAATATTATTATGTACTGCGACGACAAAAGGCAGTTTATATTGTTATTCAGTAAATAACATATTATAATATTATAAATATACC